CACCTTGGACAAGGGAGTCTGCTAAATAAATAAAAATAAATTATAATACTTGTGAAGTTGTTCAAGTTTGTTTGCACATGAGAAACTGCCAGCATTTGGTACATGCTTTTTAAAGTACTCGCTTAGTTTTGGATTATCTATTTTTTCTAATAGTATGTTGGCAGCAGTGACAGGCATCCACTAGCTCCATTGTAGCTTCTCCTTTTGCGAAACGACTTTCAGTTCTTTTAAACATCGTGGACACTGTTGCTGGTTTTTTGTTCTGACCTGTAGCCTTTGCACATGCTTTTCGTTCAATATGCAATTCGGCCTCAAAATGGTGATCGATCGTGGTTTTTTCTGAACAAATCCAGAGTCACGTTGCAAGATGAACAAAACAATTTACCACTGTCTGCAAGATTCTCCACACAATCCAAAGCTGGATTTTTTTTTCTTTTTTGCTTCGTCAGCCATCCTTTCACTCAACCTGATGACTGTCACTCTCACTTATCATAAATGTTGACACACTCTCAATCAATGATCTACTGTAATGACTGTTGTGCTCACTTTAGTATACGTCATGCAACTTGACAGGCACTCTCAATCAACTATCCACTATGACGATTGGAGTGATAGCACATGATATCACAGCTGTTTTTGCATTGTGGTAATCACAGAAGTTTCTCAGCATATTTTATAAATAACACATTTTTATTTTGAAGGTTAATTTTGCAAACAATCCCATATTTCATGATTTCTGTGAAATTGCAGATCAAGAAGGCCCCTAATCATTGTATATTTAGATGTAAGCCTTTTTAAAGACGTTTATAAACTCAGGTTTTAACTCCTGTCATCAGCAGCTCATGTATACAAAAAAGAAAAGGGGTTGCATTATCCTTAGTCCTGTGCAGTCTGAAAAAGGAAAGTGGAGAGTGAGAAATCTCCTGAGCCATGCACACACTCAGACTTTGGGGTCCTGCCACACACAGACTACGGGGAAGTGGTCGGAATGTTACCTTGAGGCTTGAGACCATGGGTTCAATTCCCTGCTCTTGGCACAGATTTCCTGCGTGATTTGATAACTCAGCTTAATCTCTCTGTGCCTCATTTCCTCATTGGTAAAATGGGAATAGCTCACAGGGATTTTGTCAGGCTAACTATGTTAAAGATGGTGAGGGGCTCAGATAGTATAGTAATGGGGGGGTCATATAAATATTTATGCTAGATAGACTCGAGTGCATCTGTCTGTGTTTGCAAACCCATGGGGTGAGGAGGAAAGGAGTAAGTATGGGGGGCACCATGGTCCTATTCCTCCCTGACATTGACCAGCAGAGACAGGAGCACTCACTGCAGCTTGTGAACATAGATATTTATGGGTTGCCCAAGCTGTAGATCAAGAGCAGGGCATGCTTTTCTGTCAGTTTAAAGCAGATTTAATATTTAAAAAAATATATAGCTAAGTATTTTAAATAAATCTCCTATTATACATGCTTTAGGAGCTGCCCTAATCCCATACAGTGGTTCCATAGTATCAGAGCCGAGAAGCTTTCAAAAATATTTCCCAGTTAGGCCCCAATCCTGCAAAGACTTGCAGTCCTAGAATTTAAGGTCCGAAGAGACCACCAGATCATCGAGTCTGACCTCCTGTATATCACAGGCCACCCACACGCTACACCCATTAATTTTAAATAACATGAGTAGTTCCATTGAAATTAATGGGACTACTTACATTACTTACAGTTACGCACACGTGTAAATCTTTGCAGAATCAGGGCCTTAGACATCCTTTGACACTGATCCTCCAGAGCCATTAAGAGGTTCACAGTAACTAACTATTAACAGTATCAAAACAAATCTGTATATTCAAACTACTCTAAAAAACCCCAACAGTATAACCTTATTTTCATCTGCTCAGTTTTTAAACACTGGGAGGGTCTAATCCTCATTCTGACTAGCCTGCAAATTTGGTTTAAACAAATCAGCCCATTTTGGTATCATGAATGCAAAAAATACTGAAAAAAAGAAAACAGAATTATTTAAAAAATGCTCTCTTAGATTAGAAAACATGTTCTTCAAAATGTGTTAATAAATAAAGGCATACTTTCTAGGCTGAATCACTCTATGAGGATTTTTAATGTTAATTTTATAGCTGAATTATAAACCCTTGAGAATATGATGTCTATAATGGAAATATTGATACATCCTTAACTACAGCAGTACTATCCAGCAACACTCTAATACTGCACACTAATAGAGATTTACACTAGAAAAGGAGAAAATCCTTTACACATTTCAAATGTAAATGATACATAATTTTGAGAACAAAATATTTCCTATTATATTAGAGCCTGACATATGAAGCACTGAATTCTACTGCAAGCATTGTCATTGCTTTCAGTCTTTCAATCCCCTCATTTATGCTGAAAATTTGCAAATCCTTTATTCATGGAGCATAGAAAACGTGTACATATTTTTGAAGAGGTTCCTTATAAATGAGGAAGCTCTGATTTTATTTGCATCAGACTGTGATGGAATCATGTTCTGTGTGTCAATTCTCAGACCATCATTTTATTTTAAACAAACAATATATTTGGTAACAAACAAAACCAACACACAATAAGCTTGAAGAAAATATGTTGCTCACACAGTGTCATGTCTTCAATTCAAATGAAATTATTATTATTTGTATCATGACAGGGTCCAAAGGCCCAAGTATTGATCAGGGCTCCATTGCGTGAGGTACTAGTAAAACAGGCAAGAAGACAAGAGTCCTGCCCCAAAAAACATGCAAGCAAGTTTGTTTTATATATACCCATACTGTGACAAAGTTCCTCTTCTACCTTGGTGGGTCCTGCGCTTATTGGCGGATTTGCTCGCTTCACAGATTCACCCTGTGGGTCAGGAAACAGTCCAGAGACCTTCCCCTCTGGTAGAAGCTACAGTCCAGGTCAATTCCTCCTGTGTTTGATCAGGAGTTGGGAGGTTTGGGGGGAACCCGGGCCCGCCCTCTACTCCGAGTTCCAGCCCAGGGCCCTGTATACTGCAGCTGTCTAGAGTGCCTCCTGGTACAGTTGCACGACAGCTACAACTCCCTGCGCTACTTCCCCATGGCCTCCTCCCAACACCTTCTTTGTCCTCACCACCGGACCTTCCTCCTGATGTCTGATAATGCTGGTACTTCTCAGTCCTCCAGCAGTACGCCTACTCACTCTCAGCTTCTTGCACACCTCTTGCTCCCAGTTCCTCACACACACACACTCCCTCTCCTCTGGCTCCCCCTGGCTTGACTGGAGTGAGCCCTTTTATAGCATCAGAGGGGCCTTAATTAGAGTCAGGTGCTTAACTGCCTCACCTGACTCTTAGCAGGTTAATTGGAGTCAGGTGGTCTATTAGCCTGGAGCAGCCCCTGCTCTGGTCACTCAGGGAACAGAAAACTGCTTATCCAGTGGCCAGTATATCTCCCTTCTACTACTCTGCTCTTCCCAGCTGGTCTGGATCTATCACAATACATTCATCCCAGAGTGGGGCTACTACTCTGGGAGTACAACAGTGCTATTGCTGCCTGTCTGATACATAGCTACCAACAGTCCCAAAACATGAATTGAGACAGTAGTTACCTGGGAAAGCCTAGGTTTGCCCCAGCCAGTGGATGTGATCTTTCTGTGGGCTAAATCATGGCATTACCTCAAACCCCAAGCAAGGGGTGGCACATGTTGTCTTGCACACTGGGGGGTAGGAGAGGGAAGGAGACACAATATCATAGAAATGTAGGAGTGGAAGGGACCTTGATAGGTCATCTAGTCCAGTCTCTTTCATTGAGGCAGGACTAAGGATTATCTACCATTCCTGACAGGTGTTTGTCTAACCTGTTCTTAAAAACCTCCAATGAGGGAGATTCCACAACCTCCCTAGGTAATTTGTTCCAGTGCTTTACCACCCTGACAGTGAGGAACATGGCCACATTGGGTCAGACCAAAGGTCCATCTATCACAGTATGTCAGGTGCCCCAGAGGGAATGAACAGAACAGGCAATCACTAAGTGATCCATCCCTGGCTGCCCACTCCCAGGCTCTGGCAAACTGAAGCTAGGGACACCATCCCTGCCCATCTTGCTAATAGCCATTGATGGACCTATCCTCCATTCATTTTTCTAATTCTTTTTTGAACCCTGTTATAATCCTGGCCTTCACAACATCCTCTGGCAACGAATTCTACAGGATGACCGTGCGTTGTTTGAAGAAACACTTCCTTTTGTTTGTTTTAAACCTGCTGTCCATTAATTTCATTTGGTGACCCCTAGTTCTTGTGTTATGAGAAGGAGTAAATAACACTTCTTTATTTACTTTCTCTACACCAATCATGATTTTATATAACTTAATCATATCCCCCGTTAGTCGTCTCTTTTCCAAACTAAAAAGTCCCAGTCTCATTAATCTTTCCTGTATTAATATGTCTAGTAAGGAATCTATTTGCCAAAACCATCTCCAGAATCTTTTTTGCTGTCTGTATTGTTACAGACATATTTGTTGACAGGTATTTTGAAATAAATTACCAAAATAACAAACTGCCGTGATTATATTGTGTTATTTTGACAAATAAAATATGCAGAATTTTAAAATAGTGTAGCAACGTTTTTAATTTTTTGGTGCAGAATTCCTCCCCTGAGTAAAATATGGTCCGAAGAGCCACATAAGTATTTCTGTTATAGAAATGTACATAGCACACCCAAATGACAAAGATGAAGTCAAATTTTAATCTTTCCATTTGATTCCACACAACATTATTTGGGTTAAATGGTGTCAAATAGTATTTGAGTTGAAGCTGGGGCTTCATTTGAACACTGGTAATGTAAAGAAAGTTGAGAACTGATAAATGCAGGAATGGATGATTCTTTGTTGCTATGTAATGACAAAGAAGCAAAAAGCATTGTAAATTAGCTATGGTAACGTCACAGCATGAGATAGACCATATGGATGGAAAGTCAAAGAATGCAGAGTAAATTAAAAAGAAACAAAACTTACTTATTCCATGCTTGTCTAAGGTTTTTAGAGCTGTACTGTGTAAAGCGTTCTGTAACAAAAAGAAAGACATTCAATTATCTTGTTTAATTATATTAAAAACATGTAAAAGCATTTTAACTAATGAGGGTTATCATTTCTCCCATATGGCAAATCTGGGAAAAAGAACAAAGTGAGAAGAAGGGGAAAATAACTTTAAATAATGAACACATTATGGGACTGATTCTCATCTACACAAAAGCCACTTTACATACACTTTAAAGCCATGTTATATTGCCAGAGTGGTTATCAGTGTAAATAAGAATCGGGCCCTATTTTTCCTTTATCATAAATAACATTCTCTGTAACCTTGCTGTCATGACTCCACATTTCCCATGTAAAAAATTTGTAATAATAAGTGAAATGAGCCCAGATTCATGTTAATGTTGGGGGCAGCTGAGAGCTATGCTGGTCATATGAAAGTCCGCATGCTAAAAGATCCATAAACTTAACCAAAACTCTGCAAATATAGTGTTGGCACGTTTCTTTACCCACACACACAAACTAAGTTTTAGCTGTAAATATTGCCCTGGCTAGTGCAGGGATAAGGAGCAGACCTATTGTCCTATGGTTCCTCTGCAGAAGGACATCTTCTGGCTAGGCCAGGATTTTAGGAAGAACATTGGGGCTAGGCATTGTGTTGCTCTTCTGAACAGGAGCAAAGTGTGTCCCAGTTAACAACAGACATGCTTGATAAATACCTTCAAATCACAAACTACACCACACTGTAAACATGGGATACTGTAATAGGCCAACTCTCCTACTGCTGTGTCGTGTTAAGTAGTTTGAATAGAACTGCCCAACATTATGCGCTCAATGAGATGCTACCTAGATTTCCGCTAAAACTTTAAAGACCCTTTAAAAGGGGACTTTATTTTCTGCAAGTGCTGCACATAGCACAGGACCATGAAGTTACAGCAATTTTTTTGTACTGAATCGATCACACCATCAGAAACAACAAAATGAAAGCAACCTTTGGTTTTCAGGAGCAACTTAAAATTAGTTGAATTGTTCTTTATTTGTATAAGTAACCTTGTCCCGTAACTACTGGCAACTCTGACAACAATGTACATGGTGACAGACAACACAATAGGAAAATCCAACTGTCAATGACAATATTTTTCTTTAAAGTTGCAACAAAATACATGACCAGAATGAGCGGCATGTAATCAAGAAAAACAGCTGGGTGGAACTAAAATGCAGCTCACCTCAGCAAAGTAACTTGGTAAAAATGGAACCATAGGATCTTTTTCAGCATAGTTAGAGCAGTGAAACACTCCTAGTTTAGATGCAGTTATACCAGTATAAAGGTGCCTTATATTGAAATAGCTTATTCTAGTTTAGGAACCAAAATAAGCTATACCAATATAATGTATCTTAATACCAGCATAACTGTGTCTACACCAACGATTTTACTGGCATAGCTACCTTGACAAAAAAAATCGCATCCCTAACAAACGTAGTTATGTCAGTAGAGCTTTTTAAGGCCATGTTATAGACCAACCCAAGGATTAGAAAGTCAAGATGGCTTCTTCTAGTTTGTGCATCACCAACAATAAAGATTTTGCAAGTGAATCATAGTTAATAATTCTGTAGCTGAAACATGAGCTAGAACAGCACCTAGTTGACTGTACTACTGCAGTAGTACAGGAGTAAAATCTAGGAAAAATGTACTTTAGTCAGCAAAGAAAGGAGACTTCTAAATATTCAAGAAGCAGATCTGTTGAGCAAGGCACCCTTTTTACAGTTTCTCCACAAACTAGAAGAACTCTTAAGCTGGATCCATAAGAACCATTCATCTCTCTGTATTTATGTTAGTTTGATTTATTATTTTAATATTTTTATTTGAAAATTGGAAAAAAATCAACTCTCAGATTCACAAGATAAAAAGTGATAGGATTTGAATACTCTAGTAATAAAAAAGTTTGTTCCTCTACAAATGTACCTCACAAAATAGAATTTTTTGACTGGCAAACTATTATGAAAGTCATAAAAGAGTGAAAACTTTTGTGTGATTATTCCCGGATAAAAATACCATAAAATTACTGATGATATACATGAGTGGTAGTAATATGAAACACTACAATGCTGAATGTTTTTATGCTCCTTTATTCTAATAAAAAAAATTAGTAAACTACCAAGAACTTCAGTAATTACAGAATCTTCCCATTCCAATTATGGTTAAATTGAAGAAAATTCATAGCACATTATCTAAGGCACTCACTAGCTTGTAGCTTAACAGAGAGAGCAATTAATTTAAACCTGCAGGGTGATTTTTCACCTATTTATATCCTGTTCTGGTACTGCAGTGGAGGCACACCAGCAGGGGTTAAGGAAGGAAAGAAGAATAGTAGAGAAGTGAGAAATAAGTGAGTACATAATTGTATCAGAGGAGTAGCCGTGTTAGTCTGAATCTGTAAAAAGCAACAGAGGGTCCTGTGGCACCATACAATAGCAGATGTAAAGGTAGCCAGCTTGCAGCAAAAAAACTTCAGGACCAGACTCCAAAGAGAAACTGCTGAGCTCCAGTTCATTTGCAAATTTGACACCATCAGATCAGGATTAAACAAAGACTGTGAATGGCTATCCAACTACAGAAGCAGTTTCTCCTCCCTTGGTGTTCACACCTCAACTGCTAGCAGAGCACCTCACCTTCCCTGATTGAACTAACCTCGTTATCTCCAGACTGATTTATACCTGCCTCTGGAGATTTCCATTACTTGCATCTGAAGAAGTGAGGTTCTTACCCACGGAAGCTTATGCTCCCAATACTTCTGTTAGTCTCAAAGGTGCCATAGGACCCTCTGTTGCTTTTTACATAATTGTACAAAGTTTCCACTTCAGTTCTCTATGCATATACTGTAATTAAATAAATAAATTAATACTCTTCTGAGGCATACAGAATAACACCACAGAAAATTCTGAATTCTCCTTTTATATAAATCTTCGTTACATACTGTACAGTATGTACTAAAAATAATGTAACTAACATTACAAAGAGAGAAAAAGAATGCTAGACCTCTCAATGAAGCACACTATGCAAGTACACCTCTACCCCGATATAACGTGACCCAATACAACACAAATTCGGATATAATGTGGTAAAGCAGCGCTCTGGAGGGGTGGAGCTTCGCACTCCGGCGGATCAAAGCAAGTTCAATATAACGTGGTTTCACCTATCACGCGGTAAGATTTTTTGGCTCCCGAGGACAGCGTTATATCGGGATAGAGGTGTACTCAGAACCATTATTACATGCCAGATAACGGAGCGGTGAAGACAGTAGTGGGAGAGAGTGTCCATAATCTGATATAAAAAAAGACATAACAGGTGTAAAAACCCAGGACTTAATTATGTGTTATGTATTAAGTGAACAGATATAATCTCAGCAATGGGAATGTGATGACAAATTAATAGAGAAAGTAGCATTATAATTTGTCTTAAACCAAGCCCATCACTTAATGGCTCATCCACTGTTGTCTTGGGATGAGATCTTGGCTCTACTGAAGTTAATGGTAATTTTCCCATTTAGCTCGATGGAGACACCAGTGGACCACCCAAACTGGGCAACATGTAGCCTTCTAGTGAGTGTGGAAAAAGGAGGAGGGTGACAAAACAGGAAAGCACTCAAAGAAATAGAAAAATATAAGCTGGGTGGAGGGGGGGCAGTGCAGGAAGGAAGGGAAGGAGACAGAGAAAGGGTCAGAAAAAAATGAGAGAAAAATGGAGATGTAGCAACAACATGCTCCAGCATGGCACCTGGGAGGCTGACGAAACACCCATCCATCACGTGAGGGGGGTTCCAACACAAGAGATTGTGAATAGAGCTGGTCAGAACATTGTAATAAAATTACACCAAAATATGCTGTTTTGTAAAAGCTGGAAAGTTTAGCAGAGACGTATCTGTTTCAATGACACTTCCATCACAAAGAGAGGGAGACACTGGTCTGGGATGTGGGAGATCCAGGCAAAAGTCCCTGCTCTGAATCAGAGTGATCTGGGATGAAGAACTTTGCTCTGAATGAAGAATGAAAAAAAAAGGCAAAACCTTGAAAAATGCTGTGAAATGGAATTGTTGCCCTTTGGTCAGTTCTAGTCGTGAACAACTGCAATGACTGTTCCCATGTTGGTGGATCCAAACTGTGTGACCCAAGCACTTGGGGATGTGTGCTACATCAAAACAGTGGATTTGGGATAGTTTGGCTTGTAAACACAAATCAAGTGTAAATAAGTTATATTAAATAATACTGAAGCCTGTGCAAAGCTGTGCACATTTTTGGACAGCCCCCTTCCCCCCAAATCTTTTTTGAGCTCTTGCACAGGTTTGTGCAAACTGAACCATGGTAATGAGTGCAGTATGAATGACTAGATAGATTAGATTAGACCGACCAGTAGCACAGTGCAGGCTTCCCTGGTACAGAATACTGATGCATATTTTATTGATCCTGCCCTTAAGGAATACTGGTGCATCTTTGTGCACTAGGATTCAATACTTGGTTTTACTTACTTAGTGTGAGCATACAACTGATACTGGGTAATAAAACAATGTTAAAAAAAATCTTCATGCTCTGTAACCAAAAGAATTCAAGTCAATAACAGAACCCGTCATCAGAACTCCACATTGGCAACATTGTACTATGTGTCCAGTAATCCCACTCCATACTACCAAAAAAAAAAAATTGTAGGAATCATTAAACATTTCAGCAAAATTGCACATCATAAAGTTAACAAAAGTGCTAACCTTAAACTAAAGAGGAAACATATTGACACTTAACCACCCTCTTACAATTAATTCTGCATCTTTAAAAGACCAAAAAAATGTAAGATGGGATTTTCAAAAAGGCCTATTGAAGCTAGATGCACAAATCCAAATGATGATTAGGCACCTAACTCCCTTAAGCTGCTTTGAAAATCCTGGCCTTAATGTCCAGAAGACCTATTTTGGTTGCACTACAAAACGATAAACCATTGTTATACCAAATGAAATGTGACAAAGAAATTGATAAATCTTGCCC